CCATGCACGGGCAGCCGATGCAGGTGGCCATGGCGCTCCGCTACGTGCTCGGGTCTGGTGCGCCCCAGGCGCGCGGCGACGACCCGCGGCGGCAGACGACAGCGACGGCGGCGACGGCGACGGTGGCGACGACCAGGACCGCGAACACGGCGGCGGCGGCGGCGGCGGCGACGACGTTTTCCACCACTACCACGGCGACGGCGGCGGCGCCCGACAACGACGATGGCCGCAGGGGCGACTAGCGACGGCGTTCGTGTGGGGAGACGTGCCCAGTTGGAGGGCGAGGAAGAGGGATCCGAGGAGGAGGAGGAGGAGGAGGAGGAGGACGAGGAGGAGGAGGGCGACGAGAGACAGGCAGAGGATGTCTTCTGTGGACCTCCCTGGCCCCCCTTCTCTGGACCCCCCTCTCTGGACCCGCCTGGTCCTCCTTGGTCTCGCTCTCGTTCGCGTCGTCGTTGTCCTCCTCCTCCTCCTCCTCCTGCCCGTTGTCGTCCTCATCAATATCGTCCTCCTCCTCCTCCTCCTCCTCCTCGTCGTCGCCTCCATCGTTCCACCCATGCTGCTTATCCTCCTCGTGAGCTGAGCTGAGCAGCGCTGGGCATCGTGCGGTGGGGGCGCTGACCACCAACAGGGGGGGGCTAACGGCCTGCACGGGTCAAAGCCGTGCGCGCCCGCCGTGTGGCGCCAACCGTTGCTGGGGGGGACTGCGTTGTTGCCGGCGCGTCGCTCCGGTGGGCGTCTCTCGCGCACGCGGCACAGGCGCACCAGAGGGCACACGTGCCCTGCCTTTGTCCCGCCCGGCCGTCCCTGTCCCTCCTGCTCTTTTCTTCCCTCCCGGTCCTCCTCCTTGTGCTCCTCGGCCGTTTCCTGCCGTTCCTCCTCCTCCTCCTCCTCCTCCTCCTCCTCCTCCTCCTCCTCTTCCTCCTCCTCCTCCTCTCTTGCCTGTTTGTGGTCCTCGTTGTTGCCGTCGCCCTTTGCCTCTCCCCTCCTCCCTTGTCTCACCTTCCCTCTCCGAGAAGCCAATCAAAATGGATGCAGGGTGGCGAGGGTGGCGGAGGGGAGGGTGAGCATGATGGAAGAAGAGGGAGGGGGTAGTGGAGCAGGTGGAGGAGGAGGAGGAGGAGGAGGAGGAGGAGGAGGTGGGATACGGACGACCAGCATGTGGGATACGCATGTGGGGTACGCGGACGCGCCAGCATGATTGAATGGGCAAAGACGTCAGGAATGACATGTTTGCCATCGTGGGCTTCAGGGGGTCCTCGTACTCCCGATGTGCAACATGTATGGTGCAATGGTCGGCCGCGGCCACGATGAGTTCGGAAGTACCAGGAACGCGGGGGGGGGAGCATATGCCTTGCCCCTTCGATGCCAATTAGCATCGAGTCGCCGCACGCAACGCCAATCAGCATCGAGCCGACGCGGTCCATCACGACGAGGGTCGCGTCGACGCGGACCTAGCTGTCGAGCGTCAAATCGGCGCATGCCATACCAGTGAGCAACGAGCAGGCGCACGTAACAACGATGAGCGTCGAGTCGATGCGGTCCTCGAAGATGAGCGTCGAGTCGACGCGGACCAAACTGATGAGCGTCAAGTCGGCGCATGCCATAGCGACGGGCGCCGAGTCGGCGCTATTGTACGGGCGAACGTCGAGTCGTAGCGCGTGGACCACATGAGCGTCGAGGCGGCCCGAACCGCCAATTGGATGAGCGTCGAGTCGACGCGCCCGTGCTGCCGAGTGACCTGCTGACTGCGCAGACTGCAATGCAGGGGCAAGTCGGGCAACAACGCAGAGCTCTCCTGGAGCAAGGAAGAGACATACTCCCGCCACTTCACGGCTCACTCATAAAAATACGCGAGAACCAACAATGGGCGCGGTGACTAGAAAGTGCGGGCCGTTTCAGAAGAAGCTCGGATGATGGCCTAGTTTGCCAGTCAACCGCATACATTCCGCCCAGTGATCGGCGCTGAAGCATGCGCTGCCGCCGAAGTCCTTGCGGCCCAGAGCGCGAGAGGCCATGGGCGGGGGCCGCAATGGAGACAGAGAAACCATGCCAACACTTATGAACAGCTCATGGCACTGGGCCGCCGATTCAATGAGGGTGAACCCGAGCAGGAAGGCAATCAGCACATCAAGAAGCAGCGCGACGACGCGCGTGATGAACTCCAGCAAAACCGGAGCCCTGCGATCGCAACAGCGCGCTCAAAGAAATGGGTTGGGGCAGGCTAGAATTCGAACGGCAGAAATCGCGACCGCCTTGGATTGCGCCATGATGAACCGGGCTGCCCTAAAAGGGCAGCTACATCACACGGTTGGTCAAGCCTCTGCAACTAACGAAGTGATCCTTATACGCGGAACTGCTTTAGTCGACCTTCAGAAGCACGTCATATAGACGTAAGACAGATTCGAGGCGTGCGAGCAGTTTGCCGCCGACTACAGTAACCAGCACCAGTTTTATATTATGATGGGCGCAATTCGCCAAAATTGAGGCGGGTGCTGCACTTGCCAGGTTGGATATGTTGGTCGACGCGGTCAACAGAAGGGCGGGCGGCGATAGACGAAATATATCGGATCGGCGATTTTCTGCGATCCCTGCTAGACAGGCGCTGCTAGTCACCAGGCGCGTGGGCCCAGTAATGAGGGCGCCGCAACCTGTGTCCGCGTCGCCGCAGCCGCGCGAATTCGCGGAGTGGGCAGTGGCAGAGACCCGGTTTCCAACGGCGCCGGCGACAGCCGTCTCCGCGCCCCCTGCGCGCGAGGCTGGCGGGGCAGCTTGGCGCCGCGCGCGCTGGCGCGCTGCGCTGGGGCAATCTGGGGCTAAGCGCATTGAAGACAGCAGGTGCCCAAGGCAAAGTCAGCGGCGCCATGGTGACTGCGCCGCGCCCGAACCTGGGAAGCCTGGCCAGCCAGAGCGCGCCGCGCCTGTGATGCAGTCGAGCATGTCCCTCTACAGGAGGAATATTCGGCATTAGTCCAAAAGTGAAATTGTTCTTTGTTGTTTGAAATTGACGTTCGGTCATTTTCGAAGATTTTCGGCGGCCCTTTTTTTTCCCCCAAAAAAAAATCCGCCCGTAGGGGGGCGTGCCCGACCTATGATTGCGACGGCCGCGCGGGCCCGATCATCTATCCGGGGCGAAGCGCAGAAACGCGCGCCGCCCCCCTGCCTTCGGAGAGGAGCTTTGCTGCGCGGGCGGTGGGCGAACCGAACATTGGCGGCGCAGCGCGGCAGAAGACGCAGTTCGGGCGCTGCCGAACAGGACGATGTACAAGGAGTCCAAACAGGTGCGAATGCCGAGGCCGACCTGCTGCACCGCACTTGCGACCGTGGCAGCGGAGGTTGCATGGCGCGACAAGCTCAGCCGTGGCCGGGCAGTCTCAGCGCTTCTCGTGGCTTCGTGCGATTGAGGCACTTTCAGCCATGGCGAGTCGGACAGTCAACGCGCGGATGGAGGGAGCCAAGATCTTCGGCCGGCTCGTCAAAGCATGGCGGGTCTTTTTCATGGCCCTGGATTTGTGCGCATTGGCGGAGGCGGACAGCTGTGTCGTTGTCTTCGCCCCTTTCGGCGCCGCGAAGATGAGAGGCGCGATCGTGCGCAGGTGCGTCGGGGACTGGGGCCGCGCCCTCCTTGGAGTGGAATCCCTGCCTGAGCCGCCCATCCTTGCATCCGCGTTGAGAACGCGGCAGAGCACCACTGTGACCTCGAGCGTGATATCGGGGGCGTATTTCACGACGGGACGGGGCGACCCAAACAGAAGCAAGGAGCGGGCGGGCGACAAGTGCACCAATCTCCTCGAGAAGCCGCGCCTGGAAACGGCTCGCAGGGGGGTGGTGGCAGCGGGCGGGGGCCATCTCGGCCGCGTCTGCACGCAGGGGGGCGCGCGGCGATCGGGCCCGGCAAGGCGCGCACAATTCGGAGGACTGCCCGCGGCGTCGCCTGGGGCGCTTGAACGGGGGGGCGACGGGTCCGACTGACCAGCCGGGTGCTCGCAGGTTTTGCCCAGAGTTTGCTTCGGCTGGCAAGTGCTCCAGACCGCGGTGCGACGAGAAGCGCGGGCCGATGCGCCCGCGCAGCAGAGACGGGCGTCGCGCACATCGGGGTTTGCACGCGCGGGCAACGGCGGAGACGAGGCCGCGAAAGCTTCGCAAAAGGTTGGGCCCCAAGCGCGCTCGCCCTCAGGGGTCCGCCCCGGCCCTGGTGATGAAGCATTCGATCGTTCGCCCCAGCCTATGGGCGGGGGGTGGCCCAGCAAGCCTGGGGCAAGGGGCGCAGGGAGACAGTTCACCGCGAGTGCCGAGCAAGCCTCCCATGACCTGCAGAGGCAGGTCGCCGCCGCCGAAGCCGGCTCGCGGTCGCGAGCGGTCGGCTCCTAACGATTCGTGGCGAGGGCGCTCGAGGAGGCCCGCGGCGGCGCGTGTTCCTTGGCGGTCAAAGCTACCGCCTTCGCGACCGCCGTTTGCCCCCCCGCGCCGCCGCCCTTTCTCTGGAGGGAGCGGAGGGGCGCGGGGATTGGGGGGGGGGGCCGCCGCGCGCGTTCTCCTGCGACGGGGCGCCCGGCGCCGCGTGCGCCTCTCGAGGGTGCTCCTTCCTGCGGTGGGGGCATCCGACGCTCAGTGAGCACTCTGCCAGGTCGTCCTCCTCCTCCTCCTCCTCCTCCTCCTCCTCCTCCTCCTCCCTATTCCTCCTCCTAGGTCGCTTCCCCGCGCGCGCGGGGCTGGGGGGTGCCCAGCGCCGGCCGAGCGCGCGCCGATGTCGTTCTCCACTGCGTCGCGGGAGCCCTGCGCCAAGCGTTCGCCGAGGTCTGTCTCCGAGGTGTTGGGTATAATTACTGCGTGGGGCAAGCGCGACGCCGTGGCAATTCTGTCTGTTGCGGCGTGCTGCGATGTTCGCGCCGCGCTGCATCCGCAGCGACACCTGGTGCCTTCATGGCGCTTTCGAATTCTTTCGGGTTCAGCGCCCGGGCCGACGGTGTTGTTTGATGTGAGCTTGTGCGATTCTTTCTGCACGAACGAAACGGGTACGGAAAGACTGGGTACAATGCCCAACAGCAGTTCCTGCTCATTTTGAGCAGGACTCGCTGTCCGCGACGCCGCGGCCTGTGTCCATTTGAGACAGCAGGCCGCCTGCCCAACAGCGGTCGCTGTTGTTCTGGGGCAGCATTTGCTTTTGGGCACTGTACCCATTTCTTCCGTACCCCTTTCGGGCGTCCAAATCTCAGGAGGAGAAAAAACACACAGACACAATTTATCGTCGATCCCCAGGAATATATATATATATATATATATATATATATATGGGAAAATATGGGAAGTGGGCGGGAAGACAAAAACCCAGAAAATATGCGAAAATATGGGGAACCGTTTTATTTGTGTGTATCTATTTGTGTGTCCCAGGGCCCCTCCAAAATCCTTGGCGCGTCTCACCGGCATGATATTTATCGTTTGGCACCAGCCGTGCGTTGGCACTGCTGCGCGCCCCGTCGTGCTGCCTTTTTCTGAATCGCAGGCTCGGCAGGCGCGCGGCGCACGCCTTGGCGTCGAGACGCCGGCCACGCGCGTCGGGTTATCCCCAGGAGAGGAAAAAACACACACAGACACAATTCATCGTCGATCCCCAGGAAAGTATTGGAAAATATGGGAAGTGGGCGGGAAGACAAAAACCCAGAAAATACAGGAAAATATGGGGAATCATTTTATTTGTGTGTATTTATTTGTGTGTCCTTGGGCCCCTTGATATCCCCTCGCCCGCTCCTGAAGAGGCGCCGCCCGCGGGGTCCTGGATCCGGCGCCTACGCGCATCAGCAGTCAAGCTGGAAGCAGGCGCTCCGGGTCCTAAGGCCTCCCAGGAAGGAAAGCGCGGATGCCGAAGGGCGGCGCTGTGCGTCGGGGAAGCCTTGCGCTATGAGGCTGGCTCTGCGCATTTCGGGCTCCTGGGCTTTGTCATTGGACTTGTCCTCTTGGTGTCGCATGATGGTGGATAGTTCGCCAGATCACAACTCGGGCCTCCGGCGGCCGTTCGGGGCGACATTCGCACCCCTGGAACGCTCTCGGCGAGGCGCAGCTGCCGGAGACCATGCCGAGGCCAGGCAACCGACGCGATCTCGGCTCCCCCCCCTAGGCCTATCCTTAGATCAGGCCGCTCCCCCTACAGGCGGATTTTGGTGGAGGAATGATCGAACAAACAACAAGCACCTCAAACATCGGCAGACAAAAACATAGGAAAACTCGTCCCCAGACTATTTTTGACGATTCCTCCTGTAGAGGGACAGGCCCGACTTAAGCCTATCGCCCCCTTTCGTTGCCCCTGCTCCTCTGCCTCTCGAGTCCCGCCTCATTCATATATGCAAACAGTGCAGTGCGATCCAGATGGTGCAAGCTGTGTAATTGATACGTACATGCGGACATGTCAGCCACCGCACGAGGCGGCAACAAGGCGACCACTGACGGGCACCGGGCAAACAATCCGAAACATTCAGGCAGCACACGAGACGACCACGGGTGGGCAATGGGGGGAAACCCATAGCACCGCGACAGCTCCCATCACCACAACTGAGAGCCCCTTAGTGCAAGCAACGTTCGGGGACATCAGTCCGCTTGTCTTGATCTCTGGGCGGCATGGTTGAGGGACGAGTGGAGAGTCAGTTCTCCTGAGGTCCCTCACGAGGCCTGTGGAACCCACACACGGGCAAACATTTTCATAACATTTTCGGGTAGCTCAGGCAGGGGCAAATGTTACTATAAACTTGTGCCTCTGATTTTCGGTCCCTTCCGCAGGGCGGCGACAGCGACCGCGTCGACGGCAACGACGGCGGCGACGGCCACGGCGGCGGCGACGGCGACGGCGACGGCGACCACGACGACGACGGCGACGGCAACGAGGCGCACGCGTGCCTCGGTCTTCGATCGGCCCCCCTTGCAGGGCGGCGGTGGCGGCGGCGGCATGTCCATGGGCGGCTTTCTCGGGATGCCGGTGCCCGGCTCCTTCTGCAGCCAGATCCGGGCCGCGAGCGCCGATCCCGCGGAGCGCGATTCGTCGTCGCCGTCGTCGTCGCCGCACTCGCCGCCGTCGCCCGCGTCGCCGCCATCGTTGCCGCCGCCGCCGCCGTCGTCGATTTCGCCGCCGCCGCTGGTGCCGCCGCTGCCGCCGCCGCCGCCGCCGTCGCTGCCGCCGTCGTCGTCGTCGTCGTCGTCGTCGTCGTCGTCGTCGTCGTCGTCGTCGTCGGCGTTGTCGTCGTCGTTGTCGTCGTCGTCGTCGTGGTCGAGGTCTTGGGTCCTCGTCGTCGTTGTCGTCGTCGTCGTCGTCGTCGCGGTCGTGGTCATGGTCGTGGTCGTGGTCGTGTTCGTGGCTGTTGTTGTGGTCGCGGTCATCGGCGTTGTCGTCGTTCCCGTGGTCGTGGTGGTCGTCGTCGCCGTGGTCGTGGTGATCGTCTTCGTCACCCTCGCCGTCGTGCTCGTCACCGTCGTCGCGGTCGTCGCCCCCGTCGCCGCCATCGTCGCCGCTGC